GTATGGTATGGTATGGTATGGTATGGTATGGTATGGTATGGTATGGTATGGTATGGTATGGTATGGTATGGTATGGTATGGTATGGCATGGCATTGTGAGGAGTGGTATTGTATATTAAGTTATGGAATGGTATGGTATTGTATGGTATGTTATACTGTTAGAACAGTATAATTGTTGTGTTCCTGACAGTAAACAAATGTTTATATTTACAAAGTGCAACAAATTAAGCATTTGTGTGGATTTTGAAAAGCTTCCTGTTGCGTTTCTGGCCTCAGACAGAGCTGTATGTTGTCAGCATCCTACAGTCCTCCAAACACATGAACTATTAATGGTTTTTATCTGCATGTCAGCCTTTTTGATCAGACATTAGATGGCAGCATTCCCACATTCATTACTACCATATGTTGAAAAAAATGATGAGAGCACCCAGCTTCGGTTTAATTGAGACATGCCTCTGCTGGGGTAATATAAAATTAAACAATTACTCAACAGCCTGGAACCTATTCACAGCATAAGACTCAAAGAAAAACATTAGATTTAAAAAGTCAAAGGATTTAGAATCGATAAACTGCATGTTCAGGACTATTTTTTTTACATCAGAACAAACTGCAGGCAAAAATAGAAACTAAACTCTTACTGATATTATGGCTCTGTTCTGTATGTGTGGATCTCTGTATATAATGGAAGGGCATTTCTTTTAAAACCTGCTATCGAAAGGCAAAGACAAATAATGTTTTTACAGTACGTGTTTTTGTGTTAACAAAATATCTTGTGAACCACTAAATGGATATTAATGCACCTCTAAGAAAATAATCTCTGGATGTGCATCCATAGCCAATTGTCTTTTATATTCAAAATAGCCACCACATCCAAATGACCATAACAATTCAGAAATGGCGGGACTTCTGGCACAATGGTGCAGAGAGCAGTTGCTCTGTGAAAAGTCCTAGGTAGCAAACCTCAAAAAAGGCAAAAATTGAAAAACTATGAAATCCTGATTCAATACAAATACAAGAGGATGAATCCAAATTTTAAAGATGGTCCAATGAAAACATAAAAAACAATACTAGAAAAAAGAAAAACAATGATAAAAATGGCTAATGGCAAAGCTAACAAAACTCTGCTAACACACAACTATTTTGGCCTGCAAAATAAGGATACAGATGCAAAGAGGACCAAAAAAACCTTGACATGACAGTACAAAACCACATTATGACAGAGGATGAGGTTCTATGAAATTCATTCTTTGCAAAGAGTCACGATAGAAAATCTACAAAAAATGATCAACTTTGGTTAAAAGATGAAACAGAATGCACTCTCTATTGCGAAATCACTAAAGAGGATGAGTTCAATAGCGCCAAAATCTAGGAACGTAAAAACAAAGAGATGGAAAATGAAATAACACAACCTAAAGCCATAAACACTGAGCTCACAGAAAAAATCAATGAAATTGAAAAAAGAACAGAGTCAAGCTAGGTTTATGGTCAACGCGTCGCGCCAGATGTTACGGTGCGCATGCCATAACTGACGCAATAGCGCCACCCCCATCCCTGTGCGCTCTGTCCTGGCGTGTGGTCAAGCACCTCTAAATTTTACTAACTCCGCAAAGACTGCATACCATTCAAATAGTCTGTTTGTCAAGCTTTTGCTCTACCGCTTACAACATTTTCACAAGTTATAAAGTGTACTTCCACATGTCATTTTGGAGAAATCTACAACAACGTAAATACCAAGTATGAAACACCTCCACTACCGGTGAGGCT